CCCCAAAACCCCAAAACCCCAAAACCCCAAAACCCCGTAGTGTGAACTTTCTACCATATTAATACAATTAAGATGATTACTAAAAAATCAATTTATCTGTCTTGAGTTATATGTTCGCAATCTGTTTTTTAAGATGTAGTTTAAATTCCTACTCAGTCTTTATATCTCTCTTGAAGACTGCTATTCCTCATAATTTGATCAAGATTATCCATATACTACTTAACCTCTATATTTGAGAATTAATTAGTTACTGGCATTGAATTCTTTATTTTTTCACTATTTATAGAATTATGATTGTTTTGCTTTATTTAATTAGATTTTTAATCTCCATAGTCTGCTAATGTTAAATCTAAAGGCTGCATTAATTTATTGAAACTCCTGTCTAGCAGAGAAGGATTCATTTAAGATTCCAAATTATGTCCCGCTTTGCTCTCAACAAAAATAGATACTGAGTTGTATAAATTCTCTTACATAGACTCATATGCTTGGAATGTCACAACGGTCCACTTCATAGATTGAGCTAGGATAGCTATCAGAGCAATCTCACAAACTTAAAATATGATAGTTGCTGCGAAAGCTAAATCAGAATTCTCAGGTGAGAGTGAGAAGAACCCATATGTACAAAATATATTAGTAACTTCTTTAATAAAAAGGCCACTTATATGTACACAAAAAAATATAGTAATTTGCCTTGAATTCCTTCTAATCATTTTGAAATCTGATTGTGATTCATTCTAAAATTTATCCTTATAATACTTATTAAAAAAGTAGCAAGCATAGCCGAATAAGCAGACTACTAGACTATATGATATTGTTATAGCGATGAACATAAAGAGCAGGAAACGACCAAAGCTTGGATAGAATACAATACTGTATTTGCAGAAGGCCAAGCCATAAGAAATGTTATAGACTACTAAAAATAATAGCATGGAAATGCAGATGTATTTTTGATAGCCTTTGAATCTGCCATTTATGTCAATGTCATTATGGATCATCAGGATTATAGTCCATCGCATTGCATTGAAGAACAAGGCTGTGAAAAAGAATGTATCTTGAACCATTAGAGATAAACTCATAGTACATATATATGGGTCCTCAACATTAACCACAGGAACAGTTGAAACATACTATGTAAATGACATTCCCATGATCACTAATCCAAATAAGCAATAAGATTTAAGTATAATCGTCAAAACTAGTGACAATTCAACAAATACAAAGCATCCTAGAGTATAGCTATCATGCTTTATGCCATACTAGATTGAGTACTTATAAATATAGAAATTGAAAACAACAAAAGCAATCAGATCAAGAGCAAGAAAAAACCATATAATGTAATCAAATGGAGTATAAATGGCCATTCTAAATTAATTTATTATTATATCTCAGTGTTTTAAATTATTTTAAAAGCTATATTTAACAGAAATTCTATTAAATCATAGTAAAAGTATAATAAAATGGAATCAGATTTGAGACAGAGTATAATACAAGAGATAAAATACTTTAATGTCTCGGCATAGAATTCATAAAATGCTTTTGTTCAAATTTTTGAATCAACAAATGATATTTATTTTGGATCAAGAGACTCTTGGAAAAATGATATGGAATTGCAAGATACTGAAAGATTTGTAGAATTTAAAAAGAACTAAGTCTAGATTGCTCAGATATTTAAGCAATTAAATGAGATATTAGCTATTTTAGAAAATCAATCTGAGTACCTTGAAAATATCTAGGTCGAGAACTATGGATTGCAGTATTAAAAGATGAAGGCTATATTCTTGGAGATTTTCGGATTAGATATTAAATAGCAAGCTCACTCGCTAAACTACAATCTTGATGAGAAGATTCAGGAATACACTAAGAAGATCCGAGATCTAAAGTAAGAAGCGATTAAATCCAAGTAAGCTGGAGAAGTAGACAAGGCTTTAAGGCTTTTGAAACAGGCTAAGCATTATGAGTCATTTGTTGAGCAATAGCAGAGCTATAAGCAATAATTGCAACAATAAAACTAATGATGAAGATACTCGATACATCTTTATATAAAGAATCTGATGAATATATTTGGTTGTATTTCATAAGTTTAGATTATAAAATAGCAAGGGGTTTTGGGGTTTTGGGGTTTTGGGG